TTGAAAGTTTGCAGAAATTTAGAAGTGGCAATGTTTAAAACTAATAATAACCTGAAATGTTATCTTCGGCCTATCTGTGAAATGCAATTTTCGCCACCAAGATTTTTAGTTTCATTTTTTTCAGTCTTCGCCCATTTTACCACCTTTTTCTGTTCATTTTCCAAAATTGTCATGTTGCAGAAATATTTTTAGTTGGATGTAATATTGGTATCTGCAACAATGTGTCTTTCTGTTCATTTCAATATTTTCTGTTGTCCTACTATGCAACCATCCTTCAATGCTAAGTATATCAACAAATGAAAACAATTGACAAATATTCAATGCATATTTGCAAAACTGTATCACCGATAGCTTATTTTTGGAATGGTTTAAAATTTGGTTGTTATAAGGCAATGTTTTAAGAAAAGAGCCTCCAGTTTCATCCCTAACAACTTTTTAATTCGCTTTGGCCTTTTTCTTTCTCGACATAAACAGAGCATTACGACACTCGCTTATCCATATCATTCAAATATTGGCCTTAAGGAATTGCTTCCCTTCTTTTGTTAAGCTCATTCTCTCTTGACGTTCTTTTGTTTTTGGACACTTTGTATTAGATTCTAATACATATAAAGAATCATTTCAACTTCAATGTAAATAACACAAATTTTTTAAAAGACATTTTATTGTAGCAACAATTTTTTTTGGAGAGGGGGTTAGCAAGGACAGATTCAACGTACTGCAATTGCATATTGGTTCTTCTGGTTCAAAAGCTAATTGTTAACGTAACGAAAGCATAGATATTTGTCTAGGGAGATAAAGATTGGTCTTAATCATGTATGTTCGAGAAAAAAATTGAAGATCAAGGCACCAATAGATAGTCGGGCTACCATAGCAGACTACTGTTTGATTTGGTTTGAAAATGTTTTTGCCCAATAGATGCTATCAATAGATTTAGATATTGATATATAATAGATAATTTTGTATTGATATAAAGCATCTAGGTGTCTAAGAATTTTTGAAGCTATATTTTTTGAACTTTTTCTGCAGCTTAACAAAGTTGGAAGGCGCTACATGGACCTTAGAAAGGAATGGACGACAAAATTAACTTTGGCACCTTCAGTTGTCTTAAAATCGTCTTGTGACTTCAAGTTTCGAGGCTATCACGGTATTTATGATGTCACGGTGGTATTCCCAGATGGGCAAGAGATTTCAAACGAGATAAAGCTACTACCGAAACGTCAACCACTTTTAGTGGAGATTAACACACACGGTATGTAGATGACGTTTTATTTGTATCGTTGCAAGATAAACTGCTTCAAGATACATGGCCTGTCATTCAAAGCGCTTTTGAAACCACCCTGACGTACATTCGGCACAAATGAATTTATACACTCTTTATGTTACCAAAAGAGCCATTTTAATTATCATTGTTTTTTATTTGATTTGTCTAGACAACGTGGTGTCCTAGGTTAACACGAAATGATACGTAGATACGCAGATAGTGAATTTAAAAAGATACCATAAACGTGACTTTTTGAATAATGTATTTTATGAAAAGCATCTAATTGCATTGTAATTCGCCAATAAGCTTTCAAAACATGACGTCTTTTGGGGACTAAATTGAGCTCTTGGTGAATTTTGACCTAGCGGGTATATGAAAAACCAGATTTTCTTGCTTAATCAAAAGGTTTTGCAAGACACTTAAAGTCTAGCAAATATTCTAGGCTTTTCCAAATTTATACTATGCTTCTGAATGCAAAGGAAGGATAATAACAATTAAATTTTGATATATTCTGACAAGGACGTTGCCTTGATCTAAATGAATCGATGCTCCAATTTTCCTTCTTGGATGCTCTTGCTCTTTAGTCACAATAAAGTCAAATCAAAGGCAAAAGGTGGCATAAACATTTTTTGAATTTGCATAATTATAAATTGATTTTATCTATCCTCAACCAACTCTATCTTTGTTTAAATTCATCTCTATATCTGATATTCCTTGAACTGCAGGTTGGTGAGCACCCCCATTTTTTAAACTGTTTCTAGATTAGAATCTTGCTTCTTAATGACCCTGATTACAGAATGTTAATATCAAAACTAATAACAACACCTAGCTATCCCAATCCACCACAACTAGGGGCTAGTTATTCCACAACATCTCCCCACCACTTGACAAGCCTTCCATTTTAGCATAAAATGGCAATGTCTACAAACGATCTGACAAACTCTATTGATATATTCCCTCAGTTCCTCCTCCTTCCCTCTTGGCTGGACTTTGAGATGCTGTATCAATTACATTGTGCAATAATAATTGTATAAACAGCCCTTTTTGATTTCGATACGTTGGAATCAAACAAAAGATGAAACGATGATAGGAAAGAACGTTTGTCATTGATGGTGTGTCAACACAAGCCCTGGATCAGCTATTTCCAAAAACTCTGCTCTGACATATTCAATACACGCTTAAAGACCTTTGCGTTACCAAGGGCAAAAATATACATTTCTATATAAGGTCATAAGGTTTGAGTAGTTCTATTATCTTCTGAGTTTATATTAAGCTTCTTGATACTACCACAGATGAAGTCAGATTATCTTGACCATTTTAAGGTTCAGGTCAAAGTATTTGGAATTTACTTGAGACAAGAGAGGATAAAAGGATCTTTCATGTCACTAAACTATAATTAGGTTAGCCCGGACTATTGGAAAGTCGTGCACCTTTTTAAGGAATACTATTATCAGTAACTAAAATATCTAAATTTTCCTAATTTTCCTGTAAACTAGATTTTGTAAATTTGAGATTTTATTGGTGGTTTACCCAATATTTACAAAGAAGACTTTTGCATACAACAAGCTAAAAACAAGAGTGATTCAATAGATAGTTGAAAAGAATTTCTGAAAATATTGGGGTTGATGAGTGATACCCTCACACACCCATCGAGCCCCCTTCTCACTGTTCGCTCTATTTTCTCTCCTTTCCTCTTTCACTAATTGCTCGTTTTTCATCAACTGCTAATCTACTCATGTGTTTTTTTTGCGATTACTCCGATGATATTGGTTTCGTCTACAGTAAATATAGTAATTTCAAGTGTGTAAAGCTGTAAAGTTAAGGGGCTAACGGGGCTAACCCTTTTCTAGTGCTTGCGGTTGTTTTTTTAGGAATTTGTGGGAAGTTAGGAATGTTTAGAAATCGGGCATATCATTATTCTTGTACGTTTTTTGGACAAGGAAGGGGATGTTTGTGATAAAAAAATTTAAAATCTCATGAAAATTTCGATAAAAAACAGTTTTTATTCGTAGGACTCCTGTTGTACAGGTTTAGGAATGAACATTTTTCCTTACTGTCGTCTTATTTTGTATTTTGGTAATTTGATAAGCAAATACTTGGAACAGTACTTCTTTCATGTTCTAATTTGAGTTGAAATTCGTGCCTGAGCCTGTTTATGAAAAAACAGCTAAGCACTTCATGGCAGTGGTAGGGGCATCAAACTTCTCTAAATCAAATGCGCCCAGATAAAAAAGCAGTAAAACTTTAATTTTACTTTCTTTCATCTTTCTAGTTGATGATTGAGCAAATCAAGACCGATCGTGAACGAGTTCGGATTCAGGCCAAAGGCTAAACGCGTATGCTAGCCAGTTGTGGTTGCAATTCATTCTGGCAGTGCCCATTCACCATTGATAAGAGCCAACGAGTAAGATATTCTATCACTTTGCGCCTCATTTTGTTCTAAGACCCCATTAATAACATGTGTTTGAGGTTAGGAGAAAACGGTAGTCAATCTTGTGACCTTTAAATTGTTCAAAATTTTTCTTGGCTATGGATATCTAAAGATGTGCTAGCATTGGGCATTATATTTTGCACGTTGTCTGCCAAAGGCAACTGGTACATGGAATTATTCAATACAAATGAATTGCACTTATCGATAAATGCTAAACTGGTGTATTTTACTGGTAGCTGTTGCTGAATAGGGTGATTGCCATTGCTAAATCAATTTTTCTTCCATTTCTTGCGCGAAAACAATTCAAGGAGGCAAAAACATAGTTCAAGGCACGTAGTTACTCATCATGGGATTATAAAATGTGTGTTGATTAATTGATTAGAAGAGGTAGCTCACCTTCATCTAGTTAGCGGAGTTAGCAGAGAACAAATAGGAAATTCAGAACCTCCCTTGTCTCCTCCATTTCTACACTACCTCCCTTGACTCCCCTACCCGCTCTGCTCCATCTGCCTATAACCCCCTTCCCCCTCTCCCGAAATATGACCCCAAAAGACAGATTGAGAGATCGTTTCGGCTGACTCGATTTTCACTAATCCAATAAAGAAGCTTTTCCTTCTATTTGATTGTTCAAAATTATGGCAATTCAAGCGACGATGCCAAATAACACTGTAATTGAACAACCAAACTTTTTTAGCGCCCCATTATAAGAAATTCCTACTTTCCAACGCTTCTCCTATTTTCACCAAGAAAGAATTTAATTAATTCCCTGAGCGTTCAATACCGCAGTTTTCGATTATAAGTCGTTAATGTTTATAAGCCGCTCTCGAAAATATGTCGCAGGGAACTGGGTTCTAAATAATTGGGAATCGGAGCAAAACGTGCCAAAAAAAATTATAAGCGGTGGCTATATGATAAAAATAATTACGATATAAGACTGACAGAATATAGCATTATGGTTAATGCGCAATGAATCATACAATTCAGCTTAATTGACAATTCTAATTGGTAAATTCGCGTTAGGTGCAGGTTTTTTGTAGAAAATATCAAATATTTACGTTACGTGTTATAACAATTAATGTAACATAAACTGAAAAATCATTATTTCAAGTAAATATTAAAATTCATTTTAATGACGATAAATAATTTTTCAATCAGTTTAAATAAAAATTATTAA